AAATTTATACCAAAAGACGCTAGGCACTTTAAAGTTTTTTTTGGGTGCAAAAATAAATATAAAATTATCAAAAGGGGGAAAAATAACAACGTGGTTAATATCTGTTGCTTGTCTGTTAGTTAGGCCCACAAAATTAGGTTTAAGGTGTGTTTTTAATCGATCTAACTGTTTCAACCATGATCCGCCTGTTCGACATCCAGTTCGGCTTTTAAAACATTGATTTGTACCCTATTTTCATATATCAAAGAATGCATTAAATTGACAGAATTTTTCACATTAACTCCTATTAAAGAAAGAGTATTGAGAAAATATGGTGTATATTTTTGGGAGAATCCCAATTAAATCCAACCGAAATACCTAAATTCAGATTTAAGCCTGCACTTTTAACAAATTCCTAATTAGGCCATGAGACCTAATTAGGGATTTCTAAATGTTGTTAAATAACCAGAATACCCTTCTTCAATTAAAAATAAAATTTGATTAATATACCTCTCCCAAGTAAGTCCTCATCTCTTATGATTTTTTTTAGACCAAAAAACATATAAGTAATTTTAGAATGTTTGAAATTTGTATACATAACTTACACTATTAAAAATATTTTAATAAAACATGTTAAATTACAAATATAAGTAAAATTATAAATATAAGTAAAGTTTAAATAATTTTTTTTAAATTTTCAGTTTTTTTAATTTACGTTAGTTTTATTTATTTAAACAATGTTGGATCCAACTGAAAACGTAAATGATTACGATTTAATACTAAATTTTTATTATAATTAAAATATTTTAAAATTTTAAAATAAATATTTACAACCTGAAAAAAATATTTATTTAAAGATTACTTATATTATAATTTGAAATTTTTTATGAAAATATTTTGAAGATTTTAGTTATATTACAAAATTTCAAACACTAAAAAATTATTTATATTTTTTTGTCTAAATATTAATAATAAGAGATGATGAACCACTTCAGAGGGATAAAATAATCAATTTTCATTTTTAATTAAAGAGGGGTATTATAGTTATTTAACAATATTCAGCGATTCCTAATTAGGTCTTATGTCCTGATTAAGAATTTGTTAAAAGTGTAGGCCTCAATTTAAATTTAAGTATTTCAGCAGGATTTAATTAGGATTTTCCCTATATTTTTTGTCTCCTATTTATTCAATAGGGTAAAATTGAAGAAATGTCATTAAATAGTCTACAAATGACTTATATTTAAAAACAAACTTTTTTCCCTACAAATTCCTTTCTAGCTTATAAAAAATTTTTCTCATACAAGTGACTTAGATGTAAAAATAAAATGATGGTTCTCAACCTTTTCATAGTTTCTCACAAACAAAGCAGCCCTCCCTTGAGCAATTTGGAGCAATTTGATGCTTTCTTCCTGTAGATTTAAAATTTTGACATTAAATGGAAGATAAACAAAAACAAAAACAATAAATATAAGGCAAAAATGAGAGGAAAAAAACACTAATTTTACCAAATAAAACAAATTAGTATGTACGTAGTCAATCTATTTTTCATTATTAAGAATTGTATTATAGAATGAAGGAAGAATGATTATCCGATAATAGAAGTAGAGCATGTTTTGGAGGAAAACCTTAAATTCCAAAGCATGAATTGATGAAAGAGCTTTTTATTTTCTTTTTCCTTCTGAGCACAAATATCCTCTTATTGAAAATAATTCTATTGATGACACTATCGGTACTAAATGTGGGTGTCTCCCAACGAGATTTGAAACTTAATCCTGATGAAGAAGCTTTTGAACAAAGTGAAAGATGCTTCATTGATAATGGGTGATTCTTTGGTAAAAGTAGATGCTGATGCCTAATGCGCAAGAAATTCTCACATTGTATGGTCCTTCTTTTCAAAAGTAGATGCCATTATTGTTCTCATTTTCATCTCATATCTCACTCTGATTATTGCCAGTTCTGCGTGTAATTGCTTGCTTGGAAACTAGGATTCTCTCTGAAACAGAGAGGTAAGCTTCTGCGTTCTCTTGTTAATTATTCTTGCGTTTCATTATTGCTATTTAATACTATCTCCTTTTGGTCTTTCATATAAAAACTAGTATAAGATCAATCAGCTTTATTTAAATTTATATTTTTTCCTCCAAATATTGCTATTGATGTAAGAGTTAATAAAATCTTTTGAGAGGGAAAAACAGAAGAAGCTTGGCTTGATTAGTTGAGGTCGACAAAGTCTCTTTTATGAATATCTCTCATCTGGAAGGTGCACTGATATTACTGGGTGCTTCTGTTTCTTGCTGCGTTCAGATCTGGAGAAGAAACATAACCAAGCCCAACATTTGTAGAATTTCCATTAGTCAGATTGGTAAGGTTGTTTATTTTCTCTCCTCTGTGGGAGTTTTCTCTCTCCTCTGTGAGAGTTAGTTACGGTGTTTTTTGCCGTGTTTCCTAAGAGAGTGAGCCCCGCCGCCTACTGCAACAGAGGTAAAAGAGTGTCCGATCGGCTGCGCAGTGTAGCTGAGAGGAATTAGTGAGGATTGGTGTCCGAAGTCTTACTAACGATCTAGCTAGGGATGGCCTCTTGTGCGAGGTGGAGAAGAGGCAAGGTGGTGTAGAGGTTGAGCTGATTTGGAGAAGCAGAGAGCAACGAAGGCGGTATGGTGGTGCTCTGGTAGGGAAAATGTTGACAGAGAAGAATGTGAATAATCTTGTGGTAATGAAGATGATTCGGAAGGGTTGGAATCTGGAGAAACAAGAGGATTTAAAGATCATTGAAGTTAAGGAGAAGGTGTTCATTTTTGAATTCAGACGCAGAGATGATTATCTGCGGATTCTTCGTGGTCGACCCTGGTCAATACAAGGTGCACTTCTGAATATCCAAATCTGGAAAGATTATCTGGTGTTTAAGGATGTTAGTTTTGATTACTGTCCATTCTGGATTCAATTCCACGATATTCCTCTAGAAGAAATGGATGTGGAGAATGCGATCACTCTCGGAAATGCGATAGGAGAGGATGATGGTAGAAAATCCGAGACAGGGAGATTTATTGGTGAGGAATTTTCTGCGAGCAAGAGTGTTGGTAGACCTAAGGAAGAAACTGATCCCTGGAATGTGGACGCCGTGTCCAGAGAAGGAAAAGGTCTGGGTAAAAGCTCGATACGATCGACTTCAGAACTTTTGTTACTATTGCGGAAAATTAGGCCATGACCAAAGGTGCTGTTCAAGTCGAGCAGATGGTGAGACAGATCGTACGCTAGTGTATGGAAGTTGGATGAGTGCTCCAAGGGCAAGGAATTTGAAGGTAGAAATAGTTGGTTGTAATGAAAGATGGGAGGAGATAGAAGCATGTGGTGAATCTGTTATGAGTATACAGCAGAAGAAGAAGTTGGAGGAGCGAACATTTGCTAAGGAAAATAAGGAGGAACCCTCGTCTAAGAGTCCCAGGTCTTGGGACATAGTTAAGGAAGATACAAGGGAAGAGACTGAGGCACAGGAGGATGAGAATAGGGAAGTGTCGTTTGAGGAAGGAAAGGTTGTGGAGGATGTCAAAAATAGAACAAATATGGATGTGAAGGTTGATGCTGCTGTTAAGGTGAGTGTGAAACAAATAGCAGACATTGAAAAGCTGAAGAAGAATACAGACTCTCCTAAAGCAAAGGCTGATCTGTCCAAGGCAATTGTTGTGTATGGGAATGCTTCACCAATCTCGGAGGTGGCCTTAAGGGTGGAAAAGATTAATTTGAAAAGAGGATGGATGGAGGGTACGGAACAGTTGAGCTCTAAGAGAAGAAAATTAATCTTTGATAACTGTACTATTGATAATGATCAGCAAAAGGAAGGGAAAAGGGGACCTGGTGGGAGGAGAAATGTGAGAATGCTTAAAAGAAGGTTAAGAAAAGAAGGAGTGATGGGACACAAGGGAGGATGTGCTAAGGATTTGGAGGCACACGTGGCTAACTCTATGGAACAAGGTGATGTGGCTGCGGTGAGGGAGCAAGTGATATTAGTGAATGCTGAAAGGGATAGTGGCTGGCCTTTAACAGCCACCAGGACGCCATGATTTTCCTGGTGTGGAACTGTCAAGGCTTGGGAAGGGCCTTGACAGTGAAGAAACTGAGGGAGGAAAGTATGAAGAGGAATCCCTCAGTAATCTTCCTAATGGAAACTAGGATGTTGAAAGCAAGAATGATGAAGGTAAGAAAAAGATGTAGGATGAAGGACGAAGTTTATGTTGAACCAGTAGGAAGGAGCGGTGGTTTGGCTCTTTGGTGGAATAAGGATGTAACTATTAATATTTGGCATTGCTCCAAAAATATTATTCATACGAGTATGCAGTCCTCTAGGCAGAAAGTGCCGAACTATGTGACCTTTGTTTATGGTGCACCTCGGGTCGAAGAGAAGATGGAGGTATGGAGAAAAATGAGAAGTATTGCAAGTGGTATTCGGGGTACTTGGCTCTGCATGGGTGATTTTAACGATATAGCTTTAGTGTATGAGAAGAAGGGGAATAGACCGGAAGATATGAGGAGAATAATGAACTTTCAGAGTATGATGTCTGACTGTGCTCTGATGGATCTGGATTACTCTGGTGCCCGATTTACCTGGTGTAACCAGAGGCTAGGTGAAGCACATGTAAAAGAAAGGATTGATAGAGCAGTAGGCAACGTGGAATTCTGGGAGGTTTTTCACTCAGCCTTGGTGCTACACATTGAGTCGATAGGATCAGACCATCATATGATTGCAGTTGATAGTGAGTTTAAGTATGTGCGGGGCCAGAAAGTGTTTAAATTAGAAGCCACATGGTTGGAGCATGAAGACTACTTGAATAAAGTTAGAGAAGGATGGTTGCATAAAGATGTGATTGGGAGCAATAAGGTGGAGGAATTGGTTAGCAGACTGAATAATTGCAAAAAAAATTCTGTCAGAATGGGGGAGGAGGGCCTTTCCAAATGGCCGCAAGGTGGTTGATAGTTTATCAGTAAAACTTGAAGAATGCAGAAGAGGAGAATTGATTGCAGCCAGGAGGATGGAAATCGAGGAATTAATTAAAAAGATTGAAGAGGCGTGGGAGAGAGAGGAGGTGTATTGGTGGCAGAGGTCAAGAATTCAGTGGCTGAATGCTGGGGATAGAAATACAAGGTTTTTTCACTCGTGCACTATTCAGAGAAGAGTGAGAAATAAAATTGTGAGGCTGAAAGGGAATGGGGGTAGATGGCTAGAGAATGAAGAGGAGATAAATAATTCCTTTATTAGCTTCTATAGTAAGCTTTTTTCCTTGGATGGTTACAGAAATTTAGATGTGGCTTTGAGTTTTGTTAAAAACTTGGTGAGTGGGGAAGAAAATGCGAGCTTGGAAGAAGCGGTAACCAGGGAGGAAATCAAGAGTGCAGCTTTCCAGTTGGGTGCACTAAAAGCTCCTGGACCTGATGGATTCTGTGGAATGTTCTATCACTCTGCCTGGGGGACAATTGAGAAGGAGGTGACTGAGATGGTCTTTGGCTTTTTCAATAATAATGCTAAGTTGACAGCTTTGAATAAAACTAACGTGGTGCTTATACCGAAAGTAGAAAATGCTGAATGTGTGGGTCAGTATAGGCCTATAGGGCTTTGCAATTTTGCTTATAAGATTGTCTCTAAAGTCTTGGCAAATAGGATGAAGCCTATTCTGGCCAGGATTATCTCTCAAAATCAAAGAGCCTTTATTGAAGGGCGCTTGATACAAGGCAATATCATCATTGCACATGAAGCCTATCACTACCTGAAGAATAAGAAAAAGTGTAGGAAATATGAGATGGTTGTGAAAATAGACATGAACAAGGCGTACGATAGATTGGAATGGAGGTTCATTGAAGAAGTTATGAGGAAGATGGGCTTTAGTGAAAAGTGGATTGCCTGGATTATGGAGTGTGTGCAATCTGTGATGCTGAATTTAGTGATAGGAGGTAAGAAGATCACAGAAATTGAAATGAGAAGAGGAATCCGTCAAGGGGATCCTCTTTCTCCATTTTTATTCATTATCGCAGCTGATGCACTTTCTTCAATGGTCCAGTGGCATGTAGATATGGGTTTGCTGAAGGGAATAAAGTTAGCAAAGCACTACCCTATCCTTTCTCATTGTTTCTTCGCTAATGACTCTCTCTTTTTTATTAATGCCAAGAGGAATAATTGTAGAAGATTAATGGAGATTTTGAATGTCTATTCCCAAGCCTCGGGGCAAACTATTAACCTGGACAAATCTTGTGTTTTCTTCTCTAAGAACACGGTTGAAAAGGTGAAGCAGGAAGCCTTTGAGGTGCTGGGAATAAGTGCATCAATGAATCCGGGCAGATATTTGGGGTTACCAGTTATTTGGAGCAGATCCAAAGTGGAAGCTCTGAGATTTGTGAAGAATAAGATGGGATTAAAGGTGCAAGGATGGAAGCAGAGACTCTTGACCTTTGCTGGGAGAGAGATTATGATTAAGGCAGTTGCAAATGCAATTCCTATCTTCTCGATGTCTTGCTTCAAATTTCCAAAGAATGTTTGCATGGAATTGGACAGTTTGGTAGCCGGCTTTTGGTGGAGGCAGAAGGAAAATGAAGGCAGAATACATTGGAAGTCTTGGAAGTATATGTGCAAGGATAAGGGGGGGTGGTGGAATGGGATTTCATGACTTCATGAAATTCAATGATGCTTTATTAGCTAAAACGGCATGGAGGCTGTGTTAGAATCAGGATGATCTTTGGTGTAAGATTCTGAAGGGTCTATACTTCCATGATAAAGATTTTATGCAACCTGACAAGGGAAGCAAGCCGTCCTGGTATTGGTCTAGTATTCTGGATGGAAGGGAACTATTGAGGAGAGATCTAGTATGGAGGGTGAGTAAAGGAGACAAAGTGAAGCTATTTGAAGATAGTTGGTTACCTGAGGCCAAAGGTTACAAGTTGAGGCAGAGGGAACTTACTGATGACATAAAAGCTGTGAAGGTTGCAGATATTATAGCTGAGAGACAGTGGTGTTTTGTGAAGGTGGAGCAATGGCTTTCAGATGAAGATAAAGAAGCAATAAGGAGAGTTCGAATTCCTATTATTGAGGAGGAAGACAAGTATATATGGTTGGGCAATAAAGATGGCACCTATGCTGTGAAGAGGGGATATAAGATAGCTAGAGACCTGAAGCTAGCCACTGACAAAGATACTCCAAGTTGCTCTTACAGGGTAGGTGATGGCCTTTGGAAATTTTTATGGAAGATTAAGGCTTATTCACTTTCTGTGGAGAGCTTTGTGCGGTGCTTTGGCAACTAAATATGCTTTACACAAGAGAAGATGTGCTCATGCTCCTACTTGTAATATCTGTCATTCTCAGGAAGATTCAGTTGAGCATGCCCTTTTCTTGTGTCCTTGGGCAAAACTTTGCTGGTTTGGCTCGCCTTTAGCTTTGAAGTTTGATGAAAGTAATATGGTGAGGTTTGATCGCTGGTTTGAGAATTGGACTGCTAATAAATCTGTGACTGATGATTATAATGTAGCCCTCTTCGCTTGTATTTGCTGGCAAATCTGGAAATGCAGATGTGGTTCCATTTTTGAAGGAAGGGAAGTTGAAGCTGTAAGATGTCTGGAAACGGCAATTAGACTGACTAATGAGTTTTGGAGCAGCTTGAGTAGAAAGAGTGGTAGGCTTTCGGCCCCCCATAGCTATGAAAGGGCCCAGGCTTGGCAAAAACCAATACAAGGCACGGTGAAGATTAATGTTGATAGTGCCTATGATGCAGAAAATGGCTTGGCCGGGGTTAGGGTTATTGGGAGAGATAAGGATGGGAGGTTTCTAGGGGGTGTGGGGTTGAAAGTAGAAGCCCAGTCTGCATTTATGGCAGAGTGTTTGGCTTTATTAGAAGCCTTTAATATCAGAGATTTATTTGGAGATGGAAAAGCAATTTTAGAGACAGATTGTCTGGAGTTGTACAGGCGTATAAAGGATAAGGATATGGTCGGGTGTGATTGGAGGTGTAGAGATGAGTTACAGAAGTGCTTGGATCTGGGAAGGGTTAACTACAACTGGGATTTGTCTTTGGTTTCTAGAAAAGGCAATAATGCTGCTGATAAAATTGCAGCTTTGGCAATGAGAAGTGTGGTCCCGCAAGGATGGATTAAAGATCCACCACCCTCTCTGCGTAGTATTCTGTTGCATGACCTGGACAGTGATGGTGCTTTTGTGGCTGTTCGTGCAGGTATAGGCTAAGTTTTTTTTTTCCTTGCCTTTTTCTCTAGGTTGTACTCTAGGCTTTTATTGCTTTCTGTCCTTTCTTTCTGCTGTGGTTTTTTGGCCTTTTGTGTTTCCTTTTCGTTTCTTTACAGGTTATTAGTGAGTGTATATCTTTTTGAAATATTAATAATATGGACTTTCTTTTGCTAAAAAAAAAAGATTGGTAAGGTTGTTTTTATTTGGCATTGTTCGCCATGTCTTTTTTTGAAAAAAACTTAGAATAAAGTGTTGGGACTCTTAAAGATTTTTGGAGGTGCAACCAGTAAAAAATTTAATAATGCAATTTTGCTTCTATTAAAAATGAAACAATTTTACCCCTCACTAACAGAAAAATAATTAGGTAAAGGTGTAATTTTGATTCTGATATCAATTCTCATGTTAAGTTTTACTCTTGATTTTTTTTAAGATGCAATTTTACTCTTTATCTTTTTTTTTGTATTGTACAATCAAGGAGTGGGGATAAAATCGTACATAAAAAATAAGATTAGGGTTAAAATTGTAACACTAAAAAGATTAGAAACAAAATTGCACATGAGAAAGAAAATAAGGGTTAAAACTACATCTTTACCCTTAATTAAAATGCCACTTGTGTTTTTTTGGGGTTGGGGGGAAGGGTTAATCTGGTATCGACTGGGGCTTAGGCTTGTGACTGGGGAGGACTCGTTGGCAAAAATGGTAGTGTGCTACTGAAGGCCTCTTCAGATTAACTCGTGTAAATGCAAGCCCTTTTTCTAAATACAGGGGGGTATTTTAATTAAAAGTTAAGGTGCAATTTTAATAACTAAATTTACACCACAGGATGCTAGGCATTTTAAAGTTTTTTTTAGTACAAAAATATACATAAAATTATTAAAACGAGGTAAAATAACAATATGGTTAATGTCTGTTACTTTTCTGTTAGTGGGGCCCACAAAATTAGGTTTAAGGTGTATTTTTAGCAACAAAGTTAAAACTAATGAGCATTGGGCACTATAAAGACGTTAATGGCATTTTTATTTTTATCTTTTTTTTTGATAACTTCATGTATATTTTTGTGACAAAAAAAACTTTATGGTGCCTTATTCCCTTAATGTAAACTTGGTTGTCAAAATTACATCTTAAACCTTTAATTAATTACATGCCATTATTTTATTAAAATATGATGCTTATCTGTCAGTGGGCTTTACATCCCTTTATTCTTCTGTTAGCGAGAGGTAGAATTGCTCCCTTTTTAATATATGGAGGCAACACTGCACCTGAAAATTTTTCAGATGCCGGGTTTACCTCCAAAAAATGTGGGGATGTTAAATGCACCTTTATCCAAAAACTTATAATTACAACAATATCAAAAATATCTTATATTTAGAGTAATAAATTTATGCCCGGAGAAGGAAAGTGCTAAAGCTTGCTAACGTTACTTTTATTAAAAGATAATTGATCAAATAACGTTGATAAAAATACTTGATTAAAATTAGTTAGATATAATAAATATAAAAAAATATAACGTTTTTCGTAAATACCCTTAAGAGAGCATAAGAGAGAGAATTTATCATCTAAATAATTTATCTTAATAAATGTAATGAGATTAAGGTCAGCAATTAAATGGAAGCAAAATAAAAAATTAACAAAAAATTGAAAAGAACTTTTAAGCGTGTCTTATAAATGGTAACATGTGATACTCAAAAATTGTTTCTTCTAAGATGAAATGAAGGCTATAGTAACTACTCGCCGCTTGGCCGAGTGGTATATGTGTATGTGTGGGTGTGCGTTGTGGGTTCGAGCCCACTCCTTGTAACACAAAAAAAATATTTAACTCCGTAAATTATTGCTAAAAAATTAATTATTTAATCTCTCTAATCTCAAGTTGATTAAGATTTAGTTAAGTTGAACTCTTTCAAATCAGTCACTCAAATTCAACCATTTAATTGGTTGGTCTCTACACTTTCGGCAAATCATCCAATCTTTTATGGAATAAGTTGTGACCGAGCCATAAAATGGAGGAACTAACAGATAAACGGCTAAAACGTGAAAAATTGAATTGACCGGAGTTAAACTTTAATGATTAAATTGTAATTGAGTTAAAACTATGGAGACTTAACAACTAATTTTTCCATTATTATTATTATTTGCTGAAAATATCTTTTCCTACCTATAATTACCACATGCACCTCTTCATTTCAACTTGCCTTGTGCTGTCATTATTTGTTGCATAATATTCATTAATGATCTTTTCTACAAAAATTACAAACATAATGATTTTAGTGACTCAGTTGAAAAGTGGACATAAACGCTCAACTTTTCGTATAATTAAAGTTGCCCTATATAATTCTCTGTTTAATTAAGTAAATACCAATTATTTATTTTCGTGGTGTTTTAAATTAAAGTTATATCATCACCATATATACCTGGGCTACATTGTTGTTTCAGTGGCAATGGATGTTGTCATTTCTGTTGCGAATAATATACTGAACAAGTTGGTAGATGAAGCAATACTTCAAGCTTGCTATCCTTTCCGCTTCAATGATTATGTCAAAGAGCTTGAAATAGAAAAAGATAACCTGCAATAAAAAATACAAGAGGTTCTAGATCATGCTAAAGATGCTAGTAAGAAAACTCACAAGGTTGTTGGTAAAGTTGAGAAGTGGCTGGAAGAAGCATACTTTCTGAAGGCATAAGTGGTGGAGCTGCAAGAGAAAACGAAGAAAAGAAACAAGATGTCTTGTCTTAAATGTTGTCCAAAATTGATCAGTCGTTATAATCTGGCAAAGCAGCTTCAAGGGAAGATAAATAAAATTAGAAAGCACAATGAAGTTGAATTCTCAGAGTTTTCTCGACTTACTTCCCTTGTAGGAATGAACTACTTTTCTTCACAAGATTTTGTGGCCTTTGACAGTAGAAAGGGAGCTTATGAGGACCTTGTGAGTGTTATTAAGGATGATAAGATTCATATGATAGGATTGTGTGGCATGGGCGGGTCTGGGAAAACAACTTTGGTAAAAGAAGTGGGCAAAGAAGCAGAGAAATTTTTTGACAAAGTAGTCTTTGTGGTTGTGTCCAATACCATTGATGTAATAAAAATACAAAACGAGATTGCCAGCCAACTAAGCTTGGAATTCAAAGAGGAAGAGACACAAGGGAGAGCTAGGCGCTTGTCTATGAGATTGAGCAGTGGTGAGAGGTTTTTGATCATTCTGGATGACATATGGAAAAGCTGAATTTTGTGGATATAGGGATTCCTACTGCTAATAATCAAATGGGTTGCACTACTCTTATAACCACACGCAAATTTGATGTATGTGAATTGATGAATTGTGCAAAAACAATTCACTTGGAATGTTTAACTGTGGATGATTCCTGGGCCCTTTTTCAAAAGCATGCTAGGTTATTTGACAACTCCTCTAAATCCTTTAAGGATATAGCACAAAAAATTATAAGAGAATGTTGTGGTTTACCTATTGCAATTGCCGCAGTAGCTAGTACTTTAAAGGATAGACCTTATGACGACTGGGTTGATGCATTGAAAACATTGGGAGATCCACAGTGGGTAGATATTGAAGAAGGTCTAAGAAGTACTCATGGATGTCTTCGCCTAAGCTATGATAATTTAGATAACGAAGTGGCTAAATCATTTTTTACATTGTGTTCCGTGTATCCAGAAGATTCTGAAATTCAAATTGATCACTTAGCCAGAATTGGACTAGGGCTGGGTCTGACTGGAGAGATTCCCTCATATTGGGCAAGGATAAAAGTGATGAATAAAGCCATAAAGAAGCTCATAGATTCTTGTTTACTGCTAAAAGTTCATGGTGAAGATGGAAATCATTACATCAAAATGCATGACTTGGTTCGTGATGTAGCTCTATGGATAGCCAAAAAGGAGAATAAGTTGATTATGGGACAATTAAAAGAGGATATGATAATGGAGGACCATGCAGTAAGATATTTATGGATTGAAGATGTTGATAAATATCCTAACAAGTTATGTTGTCCTGAACTTAAGTTTCTTTATGTCTCCATATATTCAAACCCTTGTGTGACTATACATAATAATTTTTTTAGTGGCACGGAGAAGCTCAGAGTTTTGATTCTTAAAAATACTAATTACCTTGGAAAAGATTCAGTGGTTCTTCAATTACCCATTTTATTCCCCATGATAAAAAATTTGTGTTGCCTAATGCTATATTGTTGGGTACTCGGCGATATCTCTTTTATAGGGGGCTTAGAAACACTTGAGTCTCTTACCATTTGGGGTTGTTCTTTTGATGAATTGCCAAAATGCATCATACAACAAAAAAAATTGAGATTTCTACATTTATGTAGATCCAAAATTGAAAGGAATCCTTTTGAAGTAATGGGAAGATGTTCCTAATTGGAAGTATTGTATTTTTGTGGCAATAGTGGAAGAGACTGGGGAGACCAAAATAAAAATAGTGCTAGATTTTTTGATAAAATTAGCACTACCGCATCAGCATTGGAGAGTTATTGCATACATTTTGGCAGTAATGATGAAGATTTTTGGGTTCAAGCAAGTGCATCTTATTGTCATTCTTTTGTTGCAAGAAGTTTATATAGTGAAAACTTCGAGAATTGTATTTCATCCGCAACTAGTATGGATATGATGAGAAAGGCAAAGACTCTATCTTTGAGGGGAATCCTTAGTAGTTGCAAAAATATCATTCCTGACCTGTGGCAAAAAATAGGAGGAGGTATGAATGAGTTGACTCTCCTTGAACTTCTTGAATCAGATGGGATAGAATGCGTGATAGGCTATGCAGCTAATCCAAGTCAAGTTGGATTCATCTCCAATTTGACTCGTCTAGCTCTTTCAAAGCTGAAGAATCTGAAGACTTTGAATAGTGGTGAGCTTCCTCAAGGTCTTTTTGCAAACTTGGAGGAGCTTGATATAAAAAGCTGTGATTCGCTTGAGCAGGTACTGACAGAAGATGAGAAAGAAATAGTTCATGGAAGTGAATATCAAAGTTATGAAAATGCATTCCCCAAATTGAAAAGACTTATAATATCGGATTGCAAAAAACTAGAATACTTAATGCCTATCTCTTTCGCAAAGAGCCTTACACATTTGGAACATTTATATGTGGCTGCAAGTGATGAATTAAGAAGTGTGTTTGGCCAATCTCTTTATGAAGGCTTAAATCTAAACAGGCCTCAAATGATTGAGTTTTTTGCTCTGGAGTATCTTCAACTTAGGAAAATGCCAAATATCATTAGTATATGTCCTGAAAATTATCATCTGACGTGGCCTTCTTTGAAATTGTTGGATTCATATCAATGTCCACGGTTAAATATAAAGTTTACCAATTATCGGGTTGCATATGGTGGATTGAGACAAGAGGATGATCAGATGATTTCTGAGGTATTATTCTTTCATTTTTAAGTTTCTAAGATCATTCATATAATCTATCATCATCAATATAAAAAATACTCCTCCAGTCCTTAATATATGATCTAATTATTGAGTTAATTTTAGTCCTAAATATAAGACCTATTTATCATATTTATCAATTTTTCGTAAATTATCTCTATGGATCTCTCTCAACCATAATCAAGTAGAAGAGGGAGAGAGGATATAAAGCAAGATGATTATGGTGTTTTAGGAAAAAAAATGTCATTTTTTATGATTAAGTAACTTATCTAATCTTTTTAATCTAATCAAATTAGTTAAATAGGTCTCATATTAAGGACCGGAAGAGTATTAAATTTATATATATCACCATACTATATACTCACAATTTGTGAAAGAAACTTTGTCTAGTCATATTAATTTAATATAATCACAGCATGTGTATTTATCTAATTTTTCCATAATATTAATTTTTTAATTGTTTATACTGGGTGACGCTATAATTTTCAAATTTTAATTGCTACATTTGACTTGTTTTTCACTTTTACAGGACCAATTAAAGGGGGTTTTAGCCTTTCAAGAAACTTTACAGCGACTACTTGTTTCACATAACGATGAAGTTGCAGTTTTTTTTTATGTCGAACAGCTTCCTATCAATAGACAACAAATTAACTTGAGTTTATATGATCTTTTTTTGGTTGGTCTGCCCAAATTAAGGCATATATGGAGGGGTCCCAAAAATTCTTTACTCCTTCAACATCTTCAATGGTTAAAACTATTCAAGTGTGGAAATTTGAAAGAAGTATTCCCTTCATTCATCTTGAAAGACCTCCCGCAACTGAGGGAACTTCACATTGAAGGTTGTGATGAGTTGGAGAAAATCATTGAAGAAGATGATCAAAATGTGTCAACCTCTCCACAACTTGTCTTCCCAAGACTTGCTTCAATAATGATCATATATTGCCATAAGTTGAAATGCGTATTCCCTAAGATCTCCACATGTGGAGTGATCCCAAATCTAAAGTCACTGTTCATAAAAGATGCACCTGTACTAGACCAAGTATTTGGAGATGACACAACACACATACCAAGATGTCACTCCAGCATTGAAATATCTTGTACTTTGGAACCTTCCCTCACTCACTTTGATTGCTCCATCCATCGCTTTTCAAAATGTGACACACATTGATGTGCTAGGATGTCCCAAACTATCTCTTGCTTCCTCTGTTACTCCTGAAGAAATCCTTGAAGAACTGGGAAAAGGTACTTCCTAACTTGAATGTTATAGTAGCATCATGTCTGCAAGTGCAATAGTATTTGTATATATACACATACTTACATTTATATTACTTGCATATTTTTTGTTGACATGATATATAGCCATCCGTCATGAATTCCTACTACTCAGTATCTTTCTAAAATGAATACATGTATATGGTTCAATTAGATTTTCTGCTTCCACACGCTTCAAGTGTACTTAAAATTAAGTTTTTATATTTAAATATAATATTCAACATCAATATTTTATTTACTTCAAATAATATTTTTTTTCAAATAGATATAATTTATATGCATTCAATCGGTATTTTAAATAATTTCTTTGTCCTTGATGATATGATAGCAAATCCTCTCTGTTTTCTTGCTTCATTGGGGTGGTTGGATCATATTATCGACCCCTATTTTGAGAGAGAAACCACCCAACAGAGCAATAACCAGGAGTTGACATTCATTACTTCACCAAACTTTACGGAGGTATGCATATATCTTCCATCTCTTGCTTGAAGACCTGGCAAATCTGTTATATCTTTTGGATTTGGTATTGGCCATGCTTAATGGACATCATTATATCTAATATATGATCTAGAATGCAATTTATTCACTCTTTCAGCTTACAAAATAAGAAAGAGTTAGAAGATCAAAGTACACAAAAGCAAGACATGTTAAGCAATTGGTTTAGTTGATATTGACTATCTTTTAACGTGGTGTAGAATGTTGAAGGAGGAGCTGCAGAGTGTACTACATCAGAGAATGTTCAGATTGTTACTTCATTAGCTCATTCAGAACCAGAAAGCTCAACCAAAGTCAACCTAACTATCTTATTATCTTACATCTTCTAATGATTTTGTCTTTCTTCTGCTTGTGACGTTAGTTACCAATTTCTTGTTGGATATGGTGTCTCAGAGTATCAATCAAATAATGCCTGGCTCAGAGATATCTGTTGCAATGCCAACTTCATATTTACTTCCTCAATCGATTAGCAAGCCGTCAACAAGTAATCCTGTAGATATATCTCTCCCTAAAACACCTGATGATGAAACTGTAAGTGTCCTAAAAGCCTCTAGACTATAAAAGTATTTGCGAACAAGTTCCTTGTTAAGACTAAACTATTTGATTTTGACTATACGGTCAATGATTTTTATATATAAGGAGTTGGTCAATACAATATCAACCAGTCTATCAGGTTTGAAGGACCAGCAACAATCACTTGCAAAAATTGAAATTTCGAAAAAAGTAATTCCTCATGAAATCAAAGCAATGCACGCGTGATTCATATATATGGTGCAACTTATTCTCATCCCTTTCTTCTTTTTGAGCTATGTAGAGTGTTAGAGATCTGGAAGGTCAGAGTACTCAAAAGGAAACCCTATTAAGGGAAAATGTAGGGATAAAATTCAACTCTCTACAAACTAATTTAAACACTGAATACGTAAACCTTACAGGTCATGATTTATTTCTCTACAGGATGTTAAAGAAAGCTTTGAAGGTTCCCTATCGTCTGAGAAAGCTAAGATAACTAGCTCATCAACTGATTCAAAATTAGCAAGCTTGCTGCCAGGAACCTTAGTTACTTCCTCAACAAACACAATTCCACATGTAAGCTTTCTAATACTTTTCTTGGCCCAAACATGATATCTTTTGTTGGCACTTACAAAACTGTCTGAGTCTTGTACCTAGTCACGATTCAGGATCTTGCGGCTACAGAATCGCTGGCAATGATATGAGGATCGAATAGAAGATTGATATATATTGCTTTTAAAATGATACATGGTTTGATAATGAGTTAAAAAGACTTGTATATGCAGCTTATATCTTAGTAGAAAGGAAAATATTGCTGTTAAAGCTTAGTCTCATGTTGTTTTTCAAATCCACTTTTTGTTATTAGATTCAAAATCAAATCGAGTTCAACCCAAGGAAGTCAGATGTTGAAAAAGATGGGAAGGTGATTCCTGTGATAAATCCTCAAGACTTGAAAGCTGATGATCTCATCAATATGCTTCAATCTATGGAGGATGATTATGGTCGTAAATCACCAGTATCATCTGTTCCTGCTGTTGCTGCCCCTAAAGATGAGCTTGTTGCAAAGGCCCTTGCTGACTTGGAAGACTGCTTGAAGATGCCTCTTAAGGACATAGCAACCTCAGAAGCCAATAGTCTTCGTCTACAAACAGCTCTCAACTTCTTGTCGTGCCTCTCCTTGGAAGATGGAGCTATATCCCATGGAGTTATGGCTATGATAAAATCTATGCATAAAGATTTTCCTATCATTTTGTCTTCTTTCAAGCAAGCATTTGCCATTGTCAATAAATTTGCAGACCTTGAAGAAAGAGATATGAGGATCAAGGAGGAGCTAACTCAACGAAAGGATGCTGCTATTGCTCTTGTTTCCAAAATGTCCAAGACCCAGAGGTTTATGGATGAAGCTGAAGAGACGGAAGCTAGGCTGAAGGAGCAGATCTCTATGTTGGAGAAACAGAGAAAAGATTGTGAGGCTGAAATGTTGTCTCTTCAAGAGCAAAAGAGGAAGTATATTGCAGAAACAAAAGAGTTCAAGAAGGAGACTGAGACTGTGAGAAAAAAGAAGTCTGAGATGGTGGAAGATCAAAGAAAAGCTTGGCAACAATTGTTTCAGGCTGATCATAAATGGTCAGTCTTAGGCAGCCAGTTTGAGAAGAACATTGCTAACAGAAATCTCTCTTAATCCTTCTTCTGCTTACTTTGACAGACCAAATAAAGTTCGAGAGGCTTTAGTACAATTGTTGGACTATTATTTTCTTTGGAGTCTATGTTCTGTAATTTAGTTGACAGCTTATCTAATGAGCTATCTCGTTGAAGGCTTGAACTAAATTTTACAAGTTAATTACTTGGGTGAATCTTATTCCGTGCTTGGAAGCTCATTTGATAGTTAATGGTTTTGCAAGAAATGTCTGTATGTTTCTTTTAAAAAAAAGAAAAAAAATTCCCATGAGAGTCGCGAATCCTATGATTTGATCCGGATAATCATATGAGGGATAAAATGAGATATTAATGGATCACATAAGCTTGAGTTTTCCAAACTCAAGTTTCTTTTCGGGCCTGTTTGGTTTGAGGGGAGGGAAGGGAAGGGGAGGGAGAGGAGGGAGGGGTAGGGAAGGGGAGGGGAGGTTTTATCCTCACCTTGTTTGGTTTGATTAAAAAGGAGGGAGGGGAGGGTATTTAATGATCCCTTGTTTGGTTCAAGGAGGGGAGGGAAGAGATAGTAATAATCAATTTACCATTTTACCCTTACATATTAGTTTATGTTTTTTATTGATATATTATATAAATTAATTTACATCTTAATTTAAATTATATAATTTAATAAAAATTCAGTCTTATCATGTTAATATGTGTATTAAAAAATTGGTATAGTAATTTTTTATTCTAATTAATATAATAATATATTTAAAATAATCAAATTAACAAATTTTATATGCTCTAAGAAAAATAAAATTTTATTTTCTTTAGGCTATCTTTTTTTCCAGCTTTAAAATATATTTAATAAATAATATATTTATAAAAAACAATTAATTTTATAATATTATAATTTTTTATTTAAATAATTTTTATAATATATTTTTAATTATAATAATGTATATATATTTTTATTTTTTACTTAGGATAATATATTTTTTATTTGAAATAAATATTATAATAATATATTTTATGGGTAGAAGTGGAATATTAAAAAAACCATAAGGGTATAATGGTCCAAAATTTTGGCTCCCCTCCAAAAACCCCCAATTTGGAGGGGAGCCAAAATAGGGGGAGGGAGGGGAGGGGAGGGGACATTTTAGCTCCCCTCCCCTCCAAAATTTTTAACCAAATGAGGGGAGGGGCTCATTTTTCCTCCCTTCCCCTCCAACCAAACACACCCTTCATCTCCGTGAAGGTCGAGACCCCAATACATGTAACCAATGAATTTTATGAAGGTATGAAGAAGCTTAATGTTTTGGTTCTTAAAAATGAAAATAATTCTGATAAACGATCAATTCTACAATGGTCAAAGTTACTCCCTACGGTAAACAATCTCCATTGTCTGTTCCCATAGAAATGAGCATTGATTGACATGTCTTCTTTACAAAGCCTAGGAACACTAACTCTCTCAAATTACAGTGGTATTGTTTCTATGAATTACCTGAGACTACATTCGTCATGGTTCTGTTCTTTGAATTAGTATTCATACTTTATTCTATTTTTTAATTTATCTGGGTTTGCATTTTTTTTTTAAAAAAAAAATCTACTCCTCTGGTTCTTAATGTAGGATCTAACTAGGAAGTTAATAGTAGTCTTATATGTAAAACTTATTTTGCATATTTATCAATTTTTTCTCAAGTGAACCCTCCACAACAATAATCAAATAGTAGAGAAAGGAACGAAATTAAGAAAGATGCTTAGAGTGTTTTAGAAAAAATATATCATATTAACTAATTTAACTAATATCCTTAACATACTCAAATTAGTTAATTAAATCTCACATTACGAACAGAAGGAGTATTATTTTGGGTTCTCTGATATGGTATGGAAGAGGGAGGGTTAGGAATAGCCCGACACCCTTGCTACCAATTCTGTTTCTTTGCATAGCTTGGCTAAGAGAAAATGTTGGAGAATCTATCATAATTAGGACCGGAGGTAGTATTATAATTTCTGATAAAAGGTATGGTGATATTTTCCAAAGAGAGTGATCCTTTTTAAAGTTCTACCGGGATTTGACTTTAGCTCATGGTTTTTAGAAAGAGGACAAGGTAGTGTTTAATGATTTTATTAGTAGAACTGGAGATAGAGACTGATGTCTCTTCTCTTCTTGTATAGTTCATGGAAGTTTAATTAAGTACTTAGTTTTCCTACTAATCTCTTGGGATCCTCATGAACCTCTGCTTTGCTCATTTTTCACGATCAGACTTGCCTGTCTTCATCAGGTTACCATCCAGGGAAATTCATGTTGTGAATCACAAATTTGTCTTTGGTCTTTTCTTTTCTTTGTTGTGTGATTTAGGTATTATGTGAACAAATCTTGGAACTTGCAATTCTTTCTGTTTTTCTGTTTTTTCCTGGTAATTCTTGTTCATTCCTTTATCTCTTTCCTGAAATGTGGGTTAAATTTTAATTTTATTCAAGATTAAGATTTGGTGATTATCATATTTGTATTCTTCATGTCAGGCTTTTGATTGAGATTTATTTGGTGGGCAACAAATTGTTGATATTGGGCTATTGGAGTCGGGTGAAACTGGAGCAGGAAAATAACTCAGCTGCGGGATCTGATGATGAGGGCATGTTTGAAAATACAATAAGATTATATTATATACTCCTCCGATCCTTAATATAAGACTAATTGTGTAGTGTAATTACAAAATGGGTCTTATATTTAGAACCAGAAGATTACCATGTTATAAGAAATTTAAAATGCTTATGTTTGGAATGCCATTTGAACGTTGTCATACTTCTTGTTAACAACAAATTATTATCTGAGTTTTTTTGTTTAGCTAACCCTCTAATATTCAAATGCAAGTTGAATTTTTTATTTTTATTTTTTCAGCTATCCCCCTAACATCCTCCCTTTCAATGATCAGATTCAAGATAATATTATTGTAAATGCATTACATTCAACACCAGAGGTCTAAAGTCATCCATCCCATAAAGCTGGCTCCTTAACCTTTCCTCATTTGATATTGTGTTGCTGTCTCAATTGTGGAACCTGATCATCCAAAAATTTGGGAAGTTCACAGGGATCAATTGAATCAGAAGGCAGAGCTAAACAATCAAATTGGAAACTTGGATTAACAGATCCTTCAAATCAAGGTCAAGCTTAGAATTGTTTTTCTTCAGATAGCCTCCATGCATCCATGGCATACCAGCATGCAATTATTTTGAAATGTATTAATATTTTTATAATTTTTCTGTATTAATTTTCCATAATTTTATTTTACATGTTGTCTGTTACTTGGGTATAGTAAAATACATAGTGCAACATTAACAAAATGTGTGTGTGTGAATTTAAAGTGAATTAAAACAGTAAATAAGCTCTTGAAATTAAGGGCAAAGCAAGCACGTGTGTGCCGTATATATCTAGGTATATAGCTTGCCATATTCTTCTTATGGGAATATTTTGAAATTAAATGATTTATCATACGTACCTCATTGATTTTAACATGTTAAGTTTTCGTTACCTGTGGCATAATGTGAACTGATTATTTTTATTTTTCAAATTACATTTCAACCATTGTTTTGGTTATATTAAATGTGCTTTCAGTGTCTGTTGCAACTGCTGTACTGAACAGGTTAGTAGATGAAGTAATACTTGAAGCTTGTTATCCTTTCGATATCAACAATTACGTTAGGGGTTTAAACAGAAAAAGAACTTGCAATCACAATTTTCTGTAGATCGAGCCAAGGATGCAAAGAAAGTTGAGAAATGGTTGTATGGAGCATACTTTCTAATGGCAAAAGCGGTAAAGAAGTCTGGAATTTAAATAACAGAGCAGTTTCCTGATGAACTAGTCTTTGTGTTCCTGTCCAGTGCCATGGATGCAAGAAAAATTCAGAACAAGATTGCAAGCTAACTAAGTTTCTTGATAATAAACTAGAGCAAGTGTTTGAAATTAATGGAGACGATCTAGAAGGGAAGACGGAGAATGTCAATGTGATTCCAAATTTGGAATATACATTACTTTTGGACCTACCAGGAAATCAAATATGTTCTGCAAACTTAAATACTTTTTGAAGGTCCTATATATCAGAGAATGCTAATTTAGTTACTACATCAACTAATGTGATCATGCATGATGCTGTACATTATTACTTGCTCTCACTTTTCTCTACTATGCAGAGTGCTGCAAAGACTGAAGATCAAGGGGTCCAAGAAAGAAACACATCAGAGAAAAAAAAGTAAAAAACTATGTCGTCTGATTGTAAACCTTAAGAGCTCAAATTTATGTATCTTTTTGTTGCTGGGCAGTGTGTTCAAAAACTTGGAACTGGCAAACTCACCCTTCGGCACATCAGTTACTTCTCTGCCTGAAGCATTTCCCTGTGTAAGCTAATTTCTCTTATTGTTTCCTTGGATTAACACACACTTATGAGAGGCCGTGCAATTATCCAGATATAAAATTTAGGTGATTAATAGTAATGAGCATTCTCAGATGGTGTTATGTTTTCAAATATTCAACTTGAATTCCTATATCGGAGTTTAATTCTTAACTAAAACAGAATGGGATTACAAGGGAGGAAAATCATGAAATTTGTAAAGTGGGAAAGTTTCCTTGCTAACTAATACCTCCAATACTTAATATATAAGATCTAGTTAACTAATTTGGAGAGATTAATAAAATTATTAAATTATTAAATTATAGTATATATTACATGATCTTTCTAAAATACTTTTGCGGATCATTAGACTACATATCAATTTATAAGTGAGAGGAATTAATTTGAAAAACACAATAAATATAAATAGTTTAAAGTAATTTAGTAGCTTTCTTAATTTTCTCAAATTAGTTAATTGGGTCTTATATTAAGGATCAAAAGTAGTATATAGGAGTTTAAATCATAATGCATGTGTATCTGATAACTAGAGAATTAGAAATCACTTTGAAAAGCTCTGTCTCTCTTTCCTTCTATTATTAAATAAAACCTAAAGGTCAGAGGCTTTCAAACCAACTTGGCCTTATAGACTTGTGAAGTACCTTTTTTGTCAAAGGTTAGAGGCCAATGCATTGTTCAAAATATGTTCTTTATCTTGTGAGATTAAATGTCAAATGAAGCAAAGGGAGTAATAAAGATACTGATGAAGACATGAAGGCAACTGTGATTTTAAATATCCAAGACTTGAAAGATGTTGATCTCATCAGTTTACTTCAATATATGGAGGATGATTATGGTGCTGAATTAACACACCGTTGATTCCTTTTCTTTTTCTGGATAAAAAAAATTGGCCCTACAAGGGGATAAGAAAGAGTACATATATACTGTTGATTTTGGAAAAATAATGCTCGTAGTTGTTTCAGAGCATTAACAAAAAAGGCCAAGAAAAAACAAATTAAAGAAGCTATAGATTAATGCAATGGTGGACAAGGGGAAGTAGTGAGTGGGCCATGAGGAATTGATAATGAGGGAAGGAAAAAGGCGGGAAACACCACTCGTATAAAACTAAAGGTTTATATAATTTTTGATCCTTTAAGTTTGTCCTAATTTTAATTTTGGTTCTTCAAGTTCCAAATCATTGGGTTTAGTCCCTCAAGAGATAAAATGGTACAAATTTTTATTAGATTACAAAGACAAATATTTTAAATGAAAGGAAATTTGAGAGACCAAAACTAAAATAAAGACAATTTTAAAGTACTAAAAATTATATTAATTCTAAAACTAAATATAAAAAGCTCAGAAAAGATATATAATAGCAGTGACTTTTAAGGAAAATTATGGAAAGATAATATTATAAAAAATGTAATTTGGTAATCACTCTGCACTGTTAGGGCCCTGCTTATAATAAAGATTCTTTCAGGTGGCCGTATGTTACTGCTGGGTTTTATATTACTCCTCTGGCCCTTAATATAAGACTCAATTGTTGAGTTAGTTTTGGTCCTAAATATAAGATCCATTTACCATATTTATTAATTTTCTCTAAATTACCCCTATAGATACTCAGTCAACCATAATCAAGTAGAAGAGGAAGAGGAGGTATTAACAAAGATGATTATAGTATTTTAAAAAAAAAAGTGTCACATTTCTTATAATGAACTAACTTATCTAACTTTTTTAATCTAATTAAATTAGTTAAATGAGTTTTATATTAAGGACCGGAGGATTATATATATATTATCCTTTGGAAGACGTTAAAATTTTTTAAGAGAGGCTTTAAACACTCTCTTATAGTCTGTTTGGTATGAAGAAAAATGAGAGGAAGGGAGGAGAGAAAAAATTTCAATGAGCTCAATTTAAAAAATTAAAACAATGGGGTTAAAAGTTTTTAATTAATTTTTATTATTCTATTATATTACTTTTTCTCTTTGTTAAAATTTCAAAACCCCAGTTTTTCAATTTTTTAAATAGAGCTCATTAAAATTTTTTCCCCCCCTCTCCTCCCCTCATTTCCCCCGTAGCAAACAGGACCTCAGTAATACATTGTGCGATGTGTGATTTCTTTAATTTGTTCTTTTGACAAAATATCATCATATCGTTTCAACAACTCGCTTTAAAATTGCATTATATTAATAAAACATGACTTTGAAGACGATTAAATGAAAAAGAGAAACTTGGTATGAATAAGGTCTCAATTATTCAAGTCTCTATACTGGAAGAGTGAGAGAGAGAGAGGGAGGTTACTACTATTTTCTCGTTCCATCCGAAGAAGAAATTATGCAAATGTTCTTAGGAAAAAAACAAATAAGTACCATGAAAAAGAAGAAGAAGATAATAACAATGAATTAAGACGTTAAACAAATTGTAGTTTGGTGATGACTATAATTACATCGATCCTAGGGCCCTACTGATAAAGAGAAGATTCTTTCAAATAGCGATATATGGTTGCAGGGTTTTATATCATATCACATCCTCTGAAACAAGCCAAAATGTATTACGACAGGTTTTATCCATTCTCTTCATATTTTATAATACGTGTTTGGACCTGTTTGTATTAAATTAATAAAAGCATCACTTTGAAGACCCTTGAGTGGAAAAGAGAGACTTGGTAAGAATAAGGTCTCCCTTAGTCAAGTCTGTGTACTGAAAGTGTGTGTGAGAGAGAAATCACTGCCACTTTCTGGCTTCTGGGTGTACTGAGGTTTAATTTTGTGGCTTCGTTTGGAGAAGATCGAAATTAAGCTCCATACGTAGGTTAGTATGTGGTCTGGTTTTGTTGTTGCCTTTCTTCGTCTATGACCCTTTTACTGTATATCCATTTAGGTATGATCTTGTATATATTATGATTCTTGATCTTTTCTATGGATCATTCAATTAACCCACTAATATTGGAGAAATTGATTAAAGCTCTCAGTGTTTTCTAGAAATTTATGAGGAGTCAAAATGAAAATGAGGGAAACAGTGAGATATTTATGGATCAATAAAATGGGTAACTTGATTTTCTTTTCATGTCAACAAAGTTTGAGGCCCCGATAGATGTAACCAATGATTTTTTTTGAAGATACGATGAAGCTTAAAGTTTTGGTTCTTGAAAATGAAAGAAGTTCTGGTAAACAATCAATTCTGTAGTGGTCGAAGTTACTTCCTGTAGTAAACAATATTCTACGATGCCTAGAAAGACTCAAGTCTCTGAAATTGGGGTGGTCTTTTTTTCTATGAATTATCAAAATGCATTATAGAACAGAAGGACTTGAGATTATATTCTTCGTTGTTCTTTGAATTAGGATTCGTACTTTATTCTATTTTCTAATTTATTTGGATTTACATTTTTTTAAAAAAAATCTCAGGGGTAGTGCTGGCCTGGGACCCTTGCTGTCTGCACTGTGAGATTGCTATCACCAATCCTGCTTCTTTTCATAGCTTGGCTACGAGATAATAGATTGTGATACTGAATTGTTATCTCTTAAAGCTTCTTTTGCTTACTTAGAAAATTCAAATGAAGTTTGAGATGCCTTTATATAATCGTTGGACTATTTATTTGTGGTACGGCAACTTATGGAACATGTGTTCTGTAATCCAGTTAATAGCTTATTTAATAAGCTATCTACTTGAAATAAATTTCTCAAGTTAAATATTTGGATTGCATAATATTCCATGTTTAGAAGCTCATTTGGTAATTGATGGTTATGCAAGAAATGTTTGTATGTTTCCAAAAAAGAAATTTCTATAAAAATTGAATCCTATGATTTGATCCTTATAATCCATCATTTCTTCAATCTATAATGATATTGTAATGGACCAAATTTTGCATATGATTGACTAAGAAGTTTTGAGCCAGAAGGGGAAGGAAGGAACAGAGGCTTGAGAGGATATGTAGAGAAGTTATGGATTGAGTAGGGTCATAGAAAAAGTTGTTGCCTAATCCTTCTCTGCCTTTTTCTGTGGCCTTCTTCTACCTCTTCTAAGTTTTATGTAACTGTTATTCTCTGGACCAGAATCGTATTATATTGCCTGTAACTCCGGAATCTTACCTCACATATTTATACGTCAATATATATATGCATGTATATATATATATATAGCTGTTATAGGCATTTCGGTATGAAATTTCAGTTTAGCTTCAATATCTGATTCTGCATTTCAATTTTTCTCTGTTCTTTTGCTTCTTTTGAGGTGTGTTCATATCAAGATCATTCGCGAACACTTGTGAAAAAATGGATGGAAGTGAGTGGAGTGAGCTAATAAAATGAACTAATTATTTAAGTTACATATAGGGAAATTGCAATAAGGTCATACTTAAGAAAATTAAGTATAAAAAGATCAATTGAAATTATTAAATTATTCTGAAGTTTTAAGGAAAGAGATTTCATTTGTTTAATTATCAAATTGTCTTTTTTTTTAAAATATACATTGAGAACTGAAAGAGCAGTTGTTAACAATTTAAGGTGTAACGATTAACAACTATCGTAGTAGGTATCAACAATATATTTTCTTAGCACATCACAAAAATATAATGCATAAATTGTTAATACCTACTGCAATAGTTATTAAGCATTACACCTTAAATTGTTAATGATTGCACTTTCAATTGTCAATGCATACTTAAAAAACAGAAGGACAATTTGGTAATTAAATAAATGAAATTGCTTTCTTTGGACTGCAGAATAATTTAATGATTTCAAGGAACTTTTTTGTATTTAATTCTTTTAAGTGAAACGACATTTTTGCAATTTTATCTTGCATATATGCGTGAAATAAATTTATAAACTCAGTACTTGAATCAAAATATACTATCAAGGTCTTTATATAATTTCATCAAAATTCCAATAGACTAAAAGGAAAATAAGGGATAATGGACGAAAGAGCGAAAGGCTATGACCAGTCGCAACCCCACCATCTGCATTATTAATAGAGGGAAAATGAACTAGTTTTCACGGTCCAACCAAAAAAACAAAAAAAGACAAAAACAAAGACTAGTCTTATTACTAGATTCTTTTTCATCTTCATCTTCGGAAGATTCAAACAAAATCATGGTTTGTTCGTAATATGAAATGGAACAAATTAAAAAATATGATTCTAAAAAATCTTACAGGCAAAAATGTCCACCGCATTTTCCAATTATCCAAAGGTTTTATTTATTTATTAATATCAATATCAATTTCATCTTGAATCTGAAACTGTAATTTTCACAGCAAGTAAACGTAGAGTTTGATGTGGACTAGAGCTGGGAGAGCGGGTACCCCTGAAATGTCAATGTTAGAAATTGAAATTGTGATGAGGCATTACTCATTGCCGTTGCCAAACAAGAAAGGAAAAGAAGAAGAACTAAAAGTAGTGTTTATGTTTATGGGTTACAAGAAGATCAAATTTCCGAGAAGATTATGAGCATCTCAAGTTATCTAGCTGGAGATTGAACGGTATGCACTCTTTTTTCTTTCTAAATTCCAGCGACCTGACAAGATTTTAAAATATTGTGATGAAATTAACTTTTTAAGTCATAATATATTTACATGAATTGCGATTTCTTCTCTTTCAAACACACATAGGAATGATGTTAATGAACTGAAAAATGTTTCATTTCAGATACTAAACCTTCATTGGGTTTATTCGCTCAAAATGGCGGAAGTTGGTGTCTCTATTGTGTCTGAAATAGTGAAAAAGCTAGTGGATGCAGCAGTAAGTCAAGCTCGTTATTTATTTTGCTCCAGTACGTACGTTAAAGAGCTTGAAAGGGAAAAAGAGAACCTGCAATCAAAAATTGAAAGTGTTACCGATCTTGCTAAAGAATCAGCCAAGAAAACTGAGAAGATTGTCCGTGATGTTGATAAGTGGTTGTACAAGGCAGACTATTTGATAGCAAGAGTCGTGGAGTTGGAAGAAAATGCAATGAAAAGAAATAAGACACCTTGTCTTTTGCATTGTGGTAACTTTATTAGGCATTATAATTTTGCCAGGCAGCTCGAAGAGAAAAGCAAAGAGATTAGGAGGCACAGTGAAGTTCAATTCGCGCAGTTCTCTCGACTCGCTACCCTCATAGGCATGAACTATTTTGCTTCACAAGGTTTCCTCCACTTCGACAGTAGACAGAGGGCATACAATGAACTTTTGGAGGCACTAAAAGATGATCAAGTTCGCATGATTGGATTGCATGGTATGGGGGGATGTGGGAAAACGATGTTGGTGAAGCAAGTGGGCCAAGAAGCCGAGCAATTTTTTGACAAAGTTGTCTTTGTTGTTGTCTCTAATGTCATTGATGTTAAGAAAATTCAAGGGCAGATTGCAGGCCAACTAAGTTTGGAATTAAAAGAGGAAGAGGAGTCAGAGAGGGCTAGACGAGTGTTCATGAGATTGAGAAGTGGAAAGAGATTTTTGATAATTTTGGATGATGTATGGGAAATGCTTGATTTCAAATCCATAGGGATTCTTGATGTTGAAAATCAATCTGGGTGCACTGTTCTTATAACAACACGAAAATTTGATGTATGCAGATTGATGAATTGCAAACAAACTATTTCCTTAAAGGGTTTAGATGAGAATGAAGCATGGACTCTCTTTCAAAAACATGCTGGGAGCTTTGAGGACAACTCTAGTACATTGAAGGGTTTGGGAAAAGAAATTACAAAACAATGCGATGGTTTACCTATTGCAATTGTTGCTTTGGCGAACGCTTTGAAGGGAAAAACTCAAATTGAGTGGGTTGAAGCATTGGAAACATTGAGAGATTCGAGTTGGGTGGAAATTGAAGACAATCTAAGAAACATTTATGCGTGCCTTCGGTTAAGCTATGATAATTTGAAGGATGAAGTGGCCAAATCACTCTTCTTGTTTTGTGCTGTATTTCCACAAGATTATGAAATTATAGTTGATCAATTAGTCCTATATGGAATTGGGCTAGGTCTAGTTGAATCTCACTCATATGAAAGGGCCAGAAACCAATTGATTAAAGCAAAAACAAAGCTTATAGATTGTTGTTTGTTGCTTCAAGTTAGTGGAAAGCCTTCTATTAAAATGCATGACTTGGTGCGTGATGTAGCCTTGTGGATGGTAAAGAAACAGATTAAGTTGGTCCCGGGACGTAAATGGAGTCCAAATGCATTTCAAGAGGATATGATTACAAGGGATATGCTGAGATACTTATGGGTCAATAAAATGGATAAACTTTCACATAAGCTAGAGTGTCCTGAACTTGAGTTTCTTCTCATCTCTGTGAAGTCTCAGACCCCTATAGTTGTAGCCAATGATTTTTTTGAAGGTATGAAGAAGCTTAAAGTTTTAGTTCTTGAAAATGAAAATAATTTTGAAAAACAATCAGTTCTACAATGGTCAAAGTTACTCTCTGTGGTAAGCAATCTACGATGCTTGTACCTAAATCAATGGCTATTAGCTGACATCTCTTTTTTACGAAGTCTAGAAAGACTAGAGTCTCTCAAGTTATGCTGTTGTTATTTCTTTGAATTATCCAAATGCATTATAGAACAGAAGAACTTGAGATTATTGGATATAGAGAGATGCCATATTCTAATGAATCCTTATAAAGTCATTGGAAGATGTGGGCAATTGAAAGAATTGTACTTCTGTGAAAATTATGGAAAAGATTGGGAGGACCAGGCGAAAAAATGTGCAAAATTCTTTGATGAAATTAATATTGCACCAGCATTGGAGAGTTACTGTATAGATTTGGGGGAAAATTCTGGGGATTTTTATCGGCAAAAACTTCCTATTACAAGAAGTTTATACGTTGAAGAATTTGAGACTTGCATCTCAAATGCGACAATTAAGGATCTCATGCAAAGAGCAGAAGTTCTTTCTTTAGGGGGAATTCATGAAAGCTGTAAGAATATAATCCCTGATGTATTTAAAACAATAGGAGGAGGTATGCATTCTTTGACTCAACTTTCACTTTGTTTTTGTGACAAAATAGAATGTGTGATAGACATTGGAAATCATTTGGGTCAACTTGGAATTATCTCTAGATTGACTCACCTAACTATCAAAGAGATGAATTGTTTGAAAACTTTATGTCATGGTCAACCTCCTTCGGGCCTTTTTGCAAACTTGGAGGTCCTGGATATATGTGGTTGTCATTCACTTCAGAATATAGTAGCTGATGAAGGGACTGAAATAGTTGTAGCAGATAGTGAATATCAAATGACATTCCCAAAATTAAAGACACTAATCATCTATCAGTGCACTCGGCTAGAATACTTAATGCCTAACACTTTTGCTCAAAGCCTTACACACTTGGAGGTTTTGGATATAAGGAGAGCTAATAAATTGACAAGTGTGTTTGTCCAATCCATTCACAAAGAACCAAGTCCAGAAAATTTTCAACTGATAGAGTTTTGTGCTTTAAGCTACCTATCTCTCAACAACTTGCCAAATATCATTAGCATTTGTCAAGGAAATTATCATCCAACCTGGCCATCTTTGAAAAGCTTAAACTTGGGAGGATGTCCACAGTTAGACCTCAGGTCCATCAATTACTGGCTTGTTATCTCTGGGCTGAGACAAAAGGATTATGAAACATCAGAGGTACCATCCATTCTCTATACTTGTTGAGAACTTTAATATTGTTAGCAATATTTACATGATCTAGTTTTTGTACGACACATGTTTATTGTGATTTAAATTTTTTTTAATAGGGGCATTCATTGATTCAAGCTCATTGACCATTAAATAATACAAAGAACAAATAACAGCTTATATATGATACTTTGTGTGGGCAATCTTCCACCTGTAATATCCTCAATCGGTTGTTATTTGAACATTATAAAGTAGATGGCAAAAGGGTTATGGCAACATATATTGAAGTTTGGGAGTATCTACACTTATGTTGTCTTTTCTCTATTCATATTGCTTTACACCATTGCAAAATGTAAAAATATCCAAATATTGCACAATTCTCTAAATATTTTGTCATTTCATATAATTTCTTTACCACTTTGTAGGAACTATATAAGGCAATGGTGACTCCGCTGGAAACTTTGCAATCACTTATTGTGCAAAACACTAAAATAGAAGTTATTTTTGATGGCGAAGGGCTTTCTAATATTGAACAACGAGTGACCTCAAGTTTGCACTACCTTCGATTGCATGAGCTACCAAAGTTGAGCCATATATGGAAGGGTCCCAAAGACTTTTTACTCCTTCAAAATCTTGGCAAGTTAATAATACAAGAATGTAGAAATTTGAAAGTTATCTTTCCTACATCTGTCTCAAGATGCTTGCAACAATTGAGGGAACTCGACATCAGGAAGTGTGAAGAATTGGAGGAAATAATTGAAGATGAAAGTCTAAGTCCATCAAATCCTCATCCACTTGTCTTCCCAAATCTAAGTGCAATCTTCATCAGACATTGCCATAAGTTGAAACATGTAATTCCTATCTCTACAAGCCATGTGCTTCCCAAAATAAGGATCTTATTCATACATGGAGCATCAGAAGTAGAGAAAATATTTAGAGATGAGGAAGGAGAGACAAGAGAGATCAGAAAGGAGAATCTAATTCCAAATTTGGAATATGTAATATTGTGGCAACTGCCTAAACTCAACACAGGAGGTCAATGGATTGACTTGCGAACTGTGAGGTACCTTTTAGTGCAACAATGCCCGAGACTCAATATCACTTCCACTATTACTCCTCGGCAGTTGCAACAAATATTAGATAATGAGAAAGCAGGTACGCAAAGTTGAGCCCCATATTTGAATTAAAAAAAAAAGAAAAATAAAGAGCATATAGGCTCGTACCAATCCTAACCAAGTAGCTCAAGTTTCTTGGGTGAAATCGACAAATCCAAGCACCAGCCCATTTTGGATGATGAATTTATGACAGTGATGGAGGCTTCACTTCCTTTTGTCTCATAAAATACTTAACACTTATGTCCTTAATATTTCTATGTTGATTCTGCCTACTATATATATATTCATTGTGAAAATTATTCATTTTAGGGTTAAACTATTTAGTACATCCACATACAATATATCTCCATACAAGGCAAATTTGTTGTAATCAATATCCTTCTAAAATACGAAACTAAATTGAAGACAAAGGCACACAAAATATTCAGGATTCATATTATGCCATATATATGCAATTATCATCATACAAATGCTTATTTGTATAATTTGTTGGTTTTTAACGATACAGCTTATTGGGATGACCGTTGGGAGTTAAAGTTTGTGTTGGAAGATATTATTGAATCCAATGAAAAATGTAGCAGACAAATGGAATCTCTTTCTTCTTCACATGCTCAGAACAATAAGCAGAACTTGACACCTATTGCCTCACCAAAATCAGCAAAGGTTTATATATATATATATATATATATATTTATATTTATAATTGAATCGCTTTCTATTTATTTGAATACTTTTAGCATGTTTGGGGTGGTTAAAACATGATTTTCTGAAAAACAGTCCTTGAGAAAATATGGTTTCAGTGTAGCTTTCATACACTATTATCTGTTTTTGGTGTTGCTTAAGCTTAATACACCTCATTATGGACATAATTCTATGGACTACAATTTATTTCTTTTTCCCTGATCTGCAGAATGTTGAAGAGTCAAGAGATGAAAAGTCCCTGGAGCTGAACATAGCAGAGGAAATGGTAATTATATCTCTGCCATGTTGTTAAATTATTCCTTTCGGTCTAAAATATAAGAGCTAGTTGAAGGTTAGATTTGATTTTAAATATAATATCTCAATCCACTTTGTCTTTCAAATTCATGATGTTTTCTCCAAAATATCCCTATTAATTATAAGGGGCTTCTACCAAGGGATAATCCTAAGATACATGATTACATAGGGTAATTTAGAAAAGTCAACACATTTATTACAAATAACCAACTTAATTAATTTTCTTAATCTCCCTAAATTAGTTATGTACCTCTCATATTAAGGACAAGAGATAGTACTATCTAATTTGATGTTATCTATCTGTTATCCATCTTTTTTTAGAATGTTCAAGGAAGCATTGAATCAGAGAATGTTAAGATAGTTGCTTCATCAGCTCATTCAGAAGCAACTAGCTCACTCATTGGCTCCTCTACTCTATCTATAGCACTTCAGCATGTAAGTTTTTAGTATCTTTGTCAATCTCATAGTGGCCTGCTTATGCAACTTAGATTTCTATACCATAGAGTAGATATTTACAATGTGTTTTGCTGCAAGATATTAAGCGAAGTTTAGAAAGTTCTACACCTGTAGATGTATAGAATGGTATCTTATCAACTCATTCAAAATTAACTAGCTTGCTCTCAGACTTATTAACTGCTTATCTACCTAAAATACATTGTCATGTAAGCTTTCTAGTATTATTATTGTGATAGAACCTATAAATAATTAAAATAGACTTGGAAAATATACTGCTGTGTATCCTATATTATGATTGGAAAATGTAGAGAATACATGTTGTCCCAAAAGCAGTAACCTCTCGAATTCTATTAATGGTCCACTCATAGGAGGTTATATAATGGACCAACAAAACTTTAGGTGATAAGTGCATATTAGCATGATTCTTTTGCTATTTATAGCTAATTCTTTTGCTTTTTCTCATGAAACTGTAAGTGATCAATGCCTTAAAGAGAAATCTCTTGTGAGTCAAACTATATTTATTGATTTTATATGAAGAGCTGGTCAATGAAATGTTAGCCATTGAACATATACTTTAAATTATGTATTGTTACTCTTCAATGAAAAGTATTGGAAAAAACTATCATTTGCTGCAATTTATTATCTCCTTGGCATACAGAATAAGAAAGAGTCAAAAGTTCAAACTACTCGAGAGCAAAACATATCAAAGGAAAAGGTAATAGAAGCACAATTAATTGGTTCACCCACTATTGGCTCGAGATTACATAGATCTTTTATTGTTGTACAGAGTGTTCAAGGAAGAGTTGAAGAGGGTACTACATCGAGGAATGTTCAAATATTCACTACAGTAGCTCATTTAGAACCAGCAAGCTTAGCCAAGGTCAACTTCATCATCTCACCATCTTATACGTTGCATTTAATTGTCTTCTTTTGCCGTTGAAATCATTTAACCATGCCTTTTCTGGATATGGTGTCTTTGAGTATCACTGAAGTAAGTCCTAGTTTAAAGATATCTGAATTAGTGCCAACTTCATCATTGCATCTCGAATTGATTAGTAAGCAATCAACAAGTAATCCTGTAGATATTTCTCAATATAAATCACTAAATGAGACTGTAAGTGTCTTAAATACGCTTGTTTGAATATGGGATTCGCAAATGAGTACCTCAACATTGATGAACCTATCTGATTTTGACTACATCTTCACTTTATAAGGAATAGGTGAAAGAGATATCAACCAGTCAATCAAGTTCAGCGGACCAAAAACAAATAAATATAGAAATTGAAATTACAATTAAAATAATTCCTCATTAAATCGAAGCAATAGATAGCAACTCATTCTCACATTTTTGTTATGCATAGTGTCAAAAGGAAAATATTCTAGGGGAAAACATAAGAAATTCAACTCTCTATTAACTAATTCAAGTACCAATTGGCTTAAACTTACAGGTTTTATTGCTTTACAGGATGTTAAAAAATACATAGATATAATGAGTCAGTTGGGTTGAGAAAAAAACTTGTAAATTTAGGTTTTATTCCCAGCATGATGGAAATTATTTTTCAAGCTTAGGACTGATATGCATTGTTTTTCAAACATACTTTTATCATTAGATTCAAAGTGAAATCAAGTTCAACCCAAGGGAGTTGGATATTGATAAAGATGGCAAGTTGATCCCTCTAAAAAATCTTCAAGACTACAAAGATGATGATCTCATTAGTTTTCTTCAATCTATGGAGGATCATTATGGTAGGGAATCACCATTCTCAGCCATTCGTACAGTTGCTGCAGATAAAGATGAGCTTGTTGCAAAGGCACTTGTTGACTTGAAAGACTACTTGAAGATGCCTCTTAGGGACATAGCAGCCTCAGAAGCCAATAGTCTTCGCCTGCAAACTGCTCTCAATTTTTTGTCTCGTCTTTCTTTGGAAGATATAGCTCTTTCCCATGGTGTGAAGGCTTTAATAAAGTCTATGCACAAAGATTTTCCTAGTATCATATCTTGTTTCAAGCAAGCATTTGCTACTGCCAATGAATTTGTAGTGCTCGAAGAAAGAGATAAAAGAATCAAAGAAGAACTAACTCAAAGGAAAGAGGCTGCCATTGCTCTTGTTTCTAGAATATCTAAGACCCAGAAGTCAATGGTTGAAGCTCGAGCAAAGAAAGCTAGGTTGAAGGAACATATCACTTGGTTGGATAAAGAAATAACAGATTATGAGGTTGAGCTGTCGCGTCTACAAGAGCAGAAAAGGAAATGTATTGCAGAAAATATAGAATTTATGAAAGAGATTGAGGTCATGAGAAAGGAAAGTTTGGAGATGGTGGAAGATCAAACAAATGCTCGACAAGAGTGTTTCAGATTGATCATAAATGGTCAGTCATGTGTAGCCAGTTTGAGCTAGCCATGGCCCAAGAAAATCTCTCTTAGTATTGTTTTTTGTAATACCATTTAAGTCCAAGAGGATTTCAATAATCATTGGACTATTTAACAATGAATTGTGATATAACTACATGTGGAATACATTTCGGATTCAACTGCATTGATTTAAAGTGTGTATTTGCTCTTTATCATCTTTTTTGCCTCTGGTTACAGGCACTAGTGTGACTATCTTGAGTATTTTCTTTGTCATAGAATCATCAATTGTAGAACCACCCAGGGACGTAAAACATGTGGCAAACTTCATAGACCTTTTTTGGCTAAACCTTTATATACTATTTCTTGCAAGCATTTTCTTTATACTTCAAATTTTAAGATTCTTTTTGTTATAAAGTTACTAGTAAAAGCAAGGAAAGCACTGGTGACAGGGTTAACGCCTTGAATGAAAGGACGTAATTTAATTTTAAAAAATTAATAATTTGATGGAAACTTGTAGATGTGTAGGAGATAAATGTTGCGATGAGAAAGACAAATCACCCTTGTAAGATTTTAATTTATGAATGAACACTCATTGGTGTAGGTCTAGGTTTGGTTGGAGAAGTTCATTCATCTGAAAGGGCCACAAATCACTTAATTAGTAAAAGCGGGGGGAAGAGAAAGGCTAATCAATTCTTGTCAGCTGCTACATGTTGATAAACATATCAAAATGCATGACTTAGTTCATGATGTAGATCTATTAATGGCCCAAAAAAAAGAAAAAAGGTTGATTTTGGGACAGTTAAAAGAGGATGTGATAATAAGATATTTATGGTTTGATGAAGTTGATAAATTTCTCCATAAATTGGATTGCCCTAAACTTGAGTTTCTTCACGTGTCCCTCTATATGCTTTCAAAAACAAAACATGATGTGAAAGTAGTAAATGATTTTTTTCAAAGGTATGGGGATCCCAAAGTTGTAATTTTTGCAAGTAAAGCATTTTTGTCTACCAAATTGCCCATTCTACAAAATGGTTAAATTTAGTTAGTGCACATCACTAGTAATCTTTGCCGCTTATTTCTTGATGGGTGGTATTTAGGTGACATCTCATTTATAGGAAACCTAATAGGACTTGAGTCTGTTACATTATGGAGGTGTCCTTTTGACGAAATACCAAAGTGCATCATAGAACAAAGAAATCTGAGGCTGTTAGATGTATAGAGATGTGAAATTCAAAAGAATCCCTATAGAGTATGTGATGGACCCCCCCCCCCAAGTATGATTTGGTTCAAGCTGAAATCTTGGCCAAACTTACTCACCTAATGAGACATTTAAAATGCTTGTGTATATCATAATGTGATTCACTTGAGCATATAATATCAAAGGTGCTGTAGAATTGCATTTCCTCAATTAAAACAATTGACATCCATTTAATAGTCAAGTTTTAGAAATATTTTAGGCTAAGAAATTGAAGAGTGTATTTGGCCAATCCAGTTAAGAAGGTCTAGATCTAGACATGGTTCAAATCATTGAGCTCTCTGCTTTAAGACAACTCATTCTTTTGTCCAGAAAATTCTCAACCAACATTTCCATCTTTCAAGCCATCATTGGATTAATGGCAGTAATAAATTTGAAAGGAATTAGAGGAAATAATAGAAGAATATCAAAATGAGTCAAGTCCTCATGAAACTTGTCTAACCCAAATCTTTATTCAATAGTACCATAAGTTGAAACGGGCATATTTGGTGTCTACACGTGGTGTGCTACTTGTTTGAAATTAGTGGAGATGAAAAAGGATTCCAAATTTGGAATATGCATTACTTTTTGACTGATGTTTCCTAGGCTACAAGGGAACTGGTTTTTGTACTAATCACTACAGTCAAATCTACACTATTCAAATACAGTTTTAATGATCCAAATTTAAAATTTTCAACTGATAATTTTTAAATAAAAAATTATTTTTTTAAACAACCTACAGTTAAGAGATTACATTTATTTTAGATTATATAACATTTAAAGGAAAACATTTTTCAACAAACAAATTTAAAAATCCAAATCTTCACCATCCATATTAAATTTGAGCAATTAAAATTTGTTAAGCATCATAATGCTTATCACTGTGATAAACACTAAAACTAATTTTAACTGTAAGACACCTTGCAATACATCAATGTCCACATTGCACATCTCTCTCATGAGTGTTATATTTCTATATGTTGTTGTTTGAACTTCAATCAGTTCATTATTATTATTTAACCCATAATTTTAGTTATATATCCTTACTGTACATAAGAAAAAGTCATGAAGAAAATATCAATTACTATAGTTTAAAAGTAGAAGGGTGTTTTCTCAATTCGTCTTTGCATGTTTTGCTTAGAAGCAAATCAAGGACAACCAGACAAAGATAGAAATTGACAAAAATATTCAGGTCAATGCTGTTATATATCTTCAAATAATTCCCCATATGGAATTGTCAAATTATTCCTAAGCTGCTCCTTATGTAATAAGCTATTTTTAATGTATATTCTTCTTAACACTAAGCCTTTAAATTCTGAATACATATTCAGTAACTTATATGAGGAGATGATGAATGAAGTATCTTCCAATGAATCCAAGTTTTACTGCTTGAGGGACCAATGAAAGTCACAGTCACTCAGAAGAACAGATAATGTCAATAATGAATTTCTGCAAGAAATAAAACATGTCATGCAAATTTATTTTTTGTTGCCGTGCAGCATGTTGAAAGTTCTATATCAGAGGATGTTAAATTAGTTACTGCATCAACTCACTTACAACTACAAGCTTATTTCTATTTGAAGATCCAGTACATCAAAGATTCAAGTGGGAAATATATCAGAAGAAATTGTAACAGTATCAAATGATTTGAATACTAAATGATTTTATGGGAAGATTTGAAGGTCTTTCATCTGCAAATTCTAAGATAGCCAAAAAAATACCCGTCTAGCACCCATGTCTTTTTTGCTATATATATCCCTCAATTTATCTAATGAATGGTGAATGAAATAATCAGCCAATGAATTTGAGGGACCTGAGAAACAATCACTCGGAGAAATTTATATTACTAATAATGAAATTCTTCAAGGAATCAAACGTTTTATGCATCATGCTATAGGTTGTTAGTTGCTCTCACTTTTCTCTACTGTACAGAGAGTGTTACAAAGACAGAAGATCAAGGGGTCCAACAAAGAAATACGTCAGAAAACAATGTAAAAACAATTATGATCTGATTCTAATCCTTAAGAGCCCAAATTTGTTACTGGGCAGTGTGTTCAAGGAGGGGTTGAAGGTTCTACATCAAAGACTTGTAAATCAATGCATTTGGAACTGGCAAGCTCAACCTCAGGCTCATCAGTCACTTCTCTGCCTAAACCATTTCCCTGTGTAAGCTAATTTCTCTTGTTCTTTCCAAGATTAATACACACCTATGAGAGGCTATACGATTGTCCGGATATAAATTTTGGGTGATCAATACTAACAAGCATTATCAGCTGGTGTTCTGTTTTGACATATTCGATTTGAATTCCTATAAAGGAGTCTACTTCTTTAGTACAATAGAATTGGATTCAAGGGAGGAAAATCATGAAATTTGAAAAGTTGGGAAGTCTCCTTGCTAATCTATATAAATGCATGTGTATCCCACAACTAGAGAATTAGAAAGCACTTTCGAGCACTCTGTCTCCCTTTCCTTTTTCATAATATATTTTTTCTTGTTAGATTCAATGTGAATCAACCAAAGGGAGACATAAATTGACAAAGACATTAAGGAAACCTAATGCTCGCGGTCGCTCGCTGGTTAGATTGCTCTTGGCAACATTTAATATGCTCTGCTCCACATTTCTTGCTGCTGTCACAGGAGAAACAAGAGTCGTGCCTTCAAGATCAATTCGCTCGAGTCTGCTGCCGCCAAGATAATTCTCCACTGTCCGTTCGTGCTATCTATACAATGGACCTCGCTAATTCTTCTCTTTCTTGAATCCAAAATTAACATATCTCATTCAATATAATATACTCCTTCGATCTTTAATATAAGATCTGTTTAATTAATTTGACTAGATTAAAGAAGTTAAGTAAGTTAGTTAAATATTAAAAAATGTGACATGTTTTTTTAAAACACCATAATCATTTTTCTTAATATCCTTCTTCTTTCTTCTACTTAATTATGGTTGAGGAAGTATCCATAGAGATAATTTAAAAAAAACTGATAAATATAAGAAATAGGTCTTATATTTAGGACCAAAATCAATTTAATAATTAGATCTTATATTAAAGACCGAAAGAGTAACATATATTATGATTGATGATTTGCTTTTCTTCCTGAATCCACACCTTTCTTCTTCTTTTGTGTGTGTGTGTATATTGTATTTGCAATTACTGCTCCCTTTTCATTTATTTTTTCTTTGTGTGCTTTTTTCCTTATCATAAATTTAATATCTCGTGCACAAAAGAAAGATATATATATATAAATAGATTTCGTGAAAAATCTTCTCTTTATCCTATAATAGATTTAAGAAACAAAAATATAATAAAAAATAATTAAATAGGTATAATTATCTATAGATTTTACTAAATATGTTTCAAAATCTACACCAATTTAATTATAAAAATAATAATTATCAATGAGCTTGAGGCCGATCTGGTAGACTTTATGAAGATGCCTTTAAAGAACATAGCGACCTCAGAGGCCAATAGTCTTCGCCTGGACTTAAAGCCATAATAAAAAGTCCATGCACCAAGAATTGCCAACCGTTCTACAATCTTTCAAGCAACCCTTTTGCTACTGTCAACCGTTTTACTGTGCTTGAAGAAAGAAATAAAGGCATCAAGGAAGACTGTGGTTGAAGCTCAAGAGAGAAAAGGTTGTGAGGCTGATTTAATGTCTCTTTATGATCAAAAGACGAAATTTGTTGCACAAAAAGTAGAGTTCAAGAGAGAGTTTGAGACTGTAAGGAATGGTCAAAGATCAGAGATATGCTCAGCAACAACTATTTGAGGTTGATCATAAATGGATAATCCTCTGCAACAAGCTT